TGACCGTTTTGTGTTAGCCGTTAGCTTCTCCAGCCGATCACACGGTCACATGGTTTCTGCACACTCCAGCTGTTCTATAGAACCTCCTTGGTAAATAAAGCACGAATGAGAAATTTAGGTCCGCAATTAGCACATTTGCGTTTTAGGGAACTAGTGCCCACCACTGGGCATTAGTTTATACAAAACCATAAAACCAAGAGAAAGTCATCCTTTACCCAGTACACTTTACGGCATTCATAAAATGTCACCCAGTGTAACAATATATTTTTTTTATTTTATAAAAACTAAACAGCCTACAGTATTTTACAGTTGTAGTAAATGTTTATCAAATAATGCCTAATGTTTCATGTCATCCCTTTTTAAATGTCTTCTTTTTTGYATGATAGAGCTTTAACCAGCATTTGTTAATGGCACAACAAACTGTTTACAGACAATGTTTTGTAGAAGTGTTGTTGAGCTSATGTAGTGATGTTCATAACAGTATCAGACCTGTTTTTAATGCAGAGGACCCTGAGAGCCTGAAGGTCACCGAATCAAATATTGACTTTCAGTTTTGTTCTTTGAGCTCTCAGATTTCTCCAGATATTAGATATTTTTTAAATRTTTCAAATTGTAGATGATTAAATATTTAGAGTTTTCTCAATTTTCCATTGTAAACAGTAACATTATTATTTCTAAAACATTCTCCCTACATGCAGTCTTCTTACAGACCCACTGCCAATTTACTGAATTGCAAAGTGCTCCTAAAGCTTCTTTATACCACTTACGTTTGTTGCCCTATCTAAACTTTTTTGTCATGTGTCCATCAAGTTCAAAATTAGCTTTTTTATGTACAACTTCTTTGTTTTGACATTTCACATGTTAAATATGGTCCATTGAGAATAAAAATTTAGTTTATAAGATTTTAAAATTAATGCATTCTGTTTATATCTACATTTTACACAATGTTCAAAACTTACTGAATTGGTGGTTGTAATAATAAGGGTATTTATTTCTCCTTATTTACCATCTAGATTACCCTCATGGCATCCGCCTGACCTCAGCCAGCCTGGGCGGGGAGAGGAAGGTTCTTATTGTCTTTATGGCACCCAGTCAGCAAGACCGCACCCGGTTTGTTAGTGACCTCAGGGAGAGTATTGCTGAGGTGCAAGAGATGGAGAAATACAGAGTTGAATGTAAGTGCCCCATCTGCTGGCTGTTTGCTGTAACTGTCAGGAAGCTGAGCAGCAATTGTTTTGAGTACGGGAAACTTTAGTAATCAGCAGTGCTGCTTCGTAGCTCACAGTTCTCTGCGTTATGTCTCGCTTTCATTTCAAATTCCCCTTTGTGCTCTGTGTGAAATTACAGCGGAGCTGGAGAAACAAAAAGGTGTTATGCGACCCAGCTTGTTAACTGGAAGTGTTGTTGGAGGAGGCGTAGGCGTGAAGGGCGACGTTGTGAACGGCACCTTGGGAAGGACCAGTTTTGATGACAACTGCTCAGTGGGTGAGGGTCTCAAACGCACGGCGCTCAGCTCATCTCTCAGGGACCTCTCAGATACAGGTGAGACCACAGCGCCACAGAGACCGGCTCCATGCCGTTTCTTTACTGGTGGGTCTTTGAGAAGCATGGTTTTGATTTCTATTTCTGCTGCTGTTTAGATTTTTTCTCTTTTTTATTGCTGATGTTCAGTCACAGCACACAGGCCATTTCTTTTTGTCTTTCACTGTCTTTGCTAACCTGATTCTTCCTGGTGGGGGTGCAGGGAAACGTGGTCGCAGGAACAGTGTTGGTTCTCTGGACAGCACTATGGAAGTAAGTCTCATAAAGACTTGCAGCAACTTATTGCTTTCCCCCTCACTGGTTTCCAGTTTTCCTGAGCGCTCAGTGTTTATGCACAATCTGAATAACCTTGCATGTATTTGTGTCCCGCACTGACACCTTTTGCATGGCTGTGTGTGTTTAACCGTGTCCGAGCGTGTAATTACAACCAAGCATTGTTGCTTTTCAGTGGTTTTTATGAAGCCTGATGAGCTTTTATGTTCCTAGGGCTCCATCATTAGCAGCCCTCAGCCTCACCAGCGTTACCCAGTGCCAGGCGTTCTCCCTGGCTGCTACGCAACAGAAGAATTCCGGCCTCACCGCCCCATCCTGAGCCCCGGAACGGGGGTGGGGGGTGGGCCGGGGCAGCAACACACCACTGCTGGGACAGGAGTTGGGGGAGTCTCCAGCAGTGCAGAGAGATCAGGAGCGGGGAGCGGCCCTGGGGGGAGCAACAGCAGCAACAGCAGCGGCTCTTTCCTGGGCTCACTATTCGGCAGCAAACGCGCCAAACCACCGGGGCCCCTTATTCCACCGGGGCCACCCTACCCCGCACCTGTACCCCCACCGACTACGGGAGGACCCCCTCCTCACTCCCCTTCATCTCTATGCCAGCTGGATGGGGGGTCGTCCAAGATCCAGGTGCTACACGCACAGTACTGTCACATGGGCGCCGTCCAGCCCCCACCACCTTACTACCATCACCATCGCTTCCACGTCCAGCCCATCCCCCCGCCTTTGCAAGGTGTGCCCCCACTTACTACTATACAGAGGGGCCCACTTCCCTGTCGCCCGCCGCTTGGCCCCCCACACGTGCAGCACCCACAGCTGGCCCATCTCTCCCAGCTCTCCCAGCATGGCCTTCAGGCTCGTTACACCAATATGGTGGTAGGTTGTCCCCCCCCTCTTTCTCCTCTCTCCCAACATTCGCAGAGCCCGCAGTTCGCCCTCTACCACGGGCAGCACACACACTCTGTCAGAGGGGGCGGCGGCCCTGGTACCAAACCCCCACTAACACTGTCTCTTTCCCACCCCCACGCACACTCCCAAACCCACCCCAGGCACGCCCAAACCCCGCACCCCACCAGCCACTCCACCCATCAAACACACTTCATCTTCGGCACGCTGCCCCACAACCTGCCGTCCGCCTCCGTCACTGCGCATCACACAGCCTCCGCCGCCCCGTATCTGCCCCAGTACCCTCCTCTCTCCTCTATCCCCCCTCCCCCACCACACTCCCCTTTAC